TCAAAGGAGTAAAATTCAATGGGAACCAGAAGATGATGCAAGGGCACCTTTAAAGTGCTGAAAAAACCTTTGCTAAATTAGAACCTTCCAAGGATAAAGAACAGGACAAAAGCTTTAGAGGAAAAAACCCCAGAAAAAAATACTAGTAGACCCACGTTCAACTTTTATTTTAAAGAAGGAAAAAATTCCAGACGCACAGAAATGCATATTGGAAAGGGTAAATATGCTGGTAAATATAAGTTTTGACTGCATAGAATATAGTCAGTGTAAATTCTTGTGTAGCTTAAAATGTATGTGCAATTAGCAGGATGTGGTGGTGCGTGTGTGTAACCTCACCGCTCTGAGAGGCTGAGGTGGGGGGATCCCAAGTTGGAGCCTAGCCCCAGCAATTTAGGGAGCCCCTGTGTCAAAACAAAACTTTAATGAAATGGCTGGGTTGTAGATCTGTGTGAAGGTCCTGGGTTTAATCCTCAGTTCATCAGTACAACAAATACATATATATATATATATATGTGTATATTTATGCACTATTAAAATTCTTGACAGTAAACATAAAGGAGTAAGGGGTAAGCAGAGACTGTCAATGTAAAATAATAATTCTGCTTTTAAGAAAATAGTTTATTCTGAGCCAAATATGAGTGACCAGGGGGGCCTGGCCCTAGCTCAGTCCTTTAAGTGGCTGCTTCCACAAAGCTGTCAGCCTCAGGTTGCTGGAGTTCGAACCTCACAACTCTCCCGCTGGCCACAAGTGCCCTGAAGGCATTTGAGGAAGCAAAAAAAAACCAAAAAAACCTTATTCCTTTCAGAGAGCCCATTGGCCAAGCATTGGCCGTGACTCATCCACATGGCTGCACTGACAAAGGTTCTACAATCTGAGGTACGGGATCTCAAGATAAATCCTGAGGGCATTTCACTGACCTTCTCAGACCAAAAAGCTACAACTCTTGTTGCATAGGTCCTGCTTTACCTTGGTCTTAACCATCCAGCAGAAAAGTATGAAGACGAAATTATAAGAAATAAAGCCATGCTGTTAAGTTGAGCTGTGGGGGACTCAGGTCAATAATTTCTAACATTGCCAGTTAAACAGAAGACCCAATGCTATTATGGGCTACTGGACTCTTTTAGAATATTTTGCTGAGTTTACACACCTATAATATTCAATAATGGAACTTAGAAAAAATGGGGTATACAGATGAATGTCCATTTTGTATCTGTGTATTCAAAGTGGTTGAGATAGATATATAGTTACATTCTGTTAATGAATAGAATGATTTGTTCTAATGGTGTTTGTAAATAGGATCACAAGTCCGCATCTTGTATAGCAATTAACCACTAAGAAGAATATATGCAGTGTATTATTTGTTGAAAAATAAAAAATAAAAAAAATAAAAAAAAAATGAGTGACCATAGCCCAGAACCACAGATTCAAGTTACCTTGAAACTGTGGAAGAGGTTAAACTCTTTGTGCCACAGAAAACAAGAAAGTCATAAACCAATGCGTGTAACAATGACACTGGTGGGAGCACAGTGGAGGGCAGTGAAAGGAAATTCCTGCTATGGGACTCAGATATTATCTTACAGCTTTTAGCTTTACGGTTGGTGAGGTCTAACAGTTTACTAACCCATTCAAGAAACTTATCTATCAGCCAAGAGAACACCAGATCAGATGTTTAAGGTAATTGTCTATAAAGGGCCTAAGACAGTCCAAGATAATTGTGGTTCCAGACCTACATCATTCCATCTCTTCACATCACTGATGTTCTCAGGTGAGGTCAGGTGGCCTGCAAGATTTTTTTTTTTCTGGTTTGATTGTTTTTTTTATTGTAAATTGAACTGGGGGCCTTTCCTATGCTAGGCAAGTACTTTACCACTGTGCCACACCCTCAGGCCATATTCTTTAATACAGATGTGGCTACTCTGAAGAACTTTAGTTCATAAGGAAAAGGTATTATGTTCTAAGGTATCAGTATTCCTGTGAGATTGCTGAAAGTTTACATTTGACTCTACTACATCAAAAAATATTGTAATTTCCAAAACCCATCTGAGCTGACAGGGTTAGTGGTAAAAGTGTTTTATTAATAAAAGACAAGAAGAGATATTAGATTTGCCAGAAGAAAATAAAGAGTATGACAGCAGCCATAAACCTAACTGCACCAGTTATGAAATATAAAAGGACTGTAAGTTTTCCTTTGAAACTAGGACACAACAATCTTCAAGTTTAGGCTCACCTGGACTCTGTCTCCATTGAGCATATTACCAAATACTTCTGAAAAGCAGTTATTTGTAGAGCAAAATATGAAAGTGGAGAGTTTTGGCTGTAAGCCATGTAAGATTGAATTGTCAAAACAACAACAACAACAAAAAACCCATAAAGGCTGCGCTAAGAAAAACTGTCCTTTTTGTTTTTTAACTTGCAAAAGAAAAGGACTTAAATCTTTTGTAGCAAAATGTTTATTTGAAGACCTCCTAAAAGTGTCATTTAGGTAAGGTGGAAACAAAGTCTATGGGAAGCTATGCTCAAGGTTACTACAAGGGTTCAATATTCTTTGCTTTGGTACCTTAAGCTTCAGCTCAGGTTTCTGAAGGATGGCTAGTTTTCTTCCAAATTATCGAAAAACAAACACAACTCTTTTCCATCGTTTCTTCTAAAAACTATATACTTCATCTCACAAGAACAATTCAATTTCTTTCCTCAATATTTGCTTATATTTCCTCTTTGGGAAATAATAAACTTGTTTTCCTGAGAGAATTTCTGAGGTTTCTATTAAACCTGTCGGTTTTATCAAGGGTGAAAAATCTCCTTTAGAATAATTATCTGGTAGCCCCAGACTGTTCTTCTGATCTTGGAAGGACATAATGGGTTAATGATTTCAGTATCAGATACTGAGTTTCAGGTCCAGCATCAGAAAACAACGTTTTCATGTTGTTACTGATCCAGAGTGGCTTCCCTAGCCTAAGGTACTGAACCACCAGGCTAAGAATTAGATTGCACAAGGACTTGTAGAGCCAGAAAAATACAGGTTAAAATTTAACAAGACAGCATAGAGTTGGATGGAAACTTTCTCTTTCCTTAGTGGCTTAACAAATTGTTTATTTTCGCTAGGCGAGGAGACACAAACTTCTAACCCCAACTTGTTGGCAGGCCGAGGGAGGAAGATTTCAAGTTCGAGGCCAGCGCAGGCAATTTAGCAGGATCCTGTCTTAGAATGGAGGAAAAAAATTCCTTCACTAGAAACACTTTTTTTTTTGAAACCCTACTACTTGTACAACATAATGCTAGAACTTAAGAAACACAAGGAGGTATCATAGGACAGCACATAACTAGGGGCTATAGTCATAAAAAGACCACACAAAGTGCAAGCCCGAGTTCAGAAAAGAGAGTGAATCAAAGCTAAAGCGGTGGGCAACAGGAAGGAGTATTTCCCAGGTACAGCTGACAGAAGGAGGCGTGGGGAGGCGTCCGGGCGGGGACACAAAGCAGACCCAGGCGGAGGAGCAACAACCCGTCCACAAGACAAGTGAGCGTCCACAAAGTCTCCTCGTCCGTCATTTACCGCCTTTCGGTGAATGAGGGAGGAAAAAGTCTGCCACCGTCTCCGTCGCAGAGTTCCGAGACGCCGAGAGACCAGACAAAGAAGCGGTTGCCGCGGGGCCGAGGCCGGGCCGTGCCAGTCCGCGGTGGACGCGCATTCCGGCGCGACCTTGCGCCTGCGGCCGCGGAAAGTGGGCCGGCTCTGCCGAGGAAGGCGCTTCCTCAGTGGCCGCCCGGTCCTAGGATTCTCCTGCCGCCCACGGGGCGCGCACCGCGTCTCTCTGCCTCGTCCACGACGGAGGAGAGCACAGCCCCGAGAGTTGGCCTCAGCCCGCCGTGCCCCGCCTTCGCTGGCGTCGGCCTTTTGTACTCGCCCCACGTGACCGCGGCCGGCTCTTCCCTCGCGCCCCGCCCGCCCTCCGGCCTTTCCAGTCTCCCGGCGCGCTCTTCCCGCTGAAGACAGCCCCCCTCTCCACTGCCTGCCCCGCTGTTCCGGTTTCCTCCCTCGGCGGCCGTTCCCGCGCGTGCGTCCCTCCCCCAGCGGCTGTTCCACCACCTCGCTGCCCCTCCCCCCGGCCGGAGCTCACTGTCTCCAAGATGGCGGCCGTGTCAGTTTGGGGCATCTCCGCGGTCCGGCCCGGGCCCCCGGGATCCCGGCTCTCTTCTCCCCCGGTAAGTAGCCGAGGGGATGCCCCCGGCCGCCGAGCCCGAGGCGGAGCCGCTCCGGGGCCCGCTCCGCCGTCTTGCGGGGTCGGCAGCTGCTGCAGGCCCCACCGCGGCCTGCGCCGCCTCCCGCAG